ACAGTTGTGTGTTTAACTTTTATGTCAGAATTTGCTCTAAACTGTGAAATGTTGTATCCCATTTTTTATTAAAAGAGTGGAGAAGGGTGAAATAAGCGTGTGCTGTGACATCAGACTTGAGGTTTGTCTTTTTTCCAGCTGACATCTGTTAGCTGAATAATCCTGATCTGGCTTTCTTGGCTAAAGACCTGACAATTGAAGTGGTTTCCTGTGTTAGCGTTGGGAGCACACAGGACATGAGTGTGAGACGTGTTCCCTTGGCCTCTGCTCTCACTGAGCCACATCATCGCTTCTGTTAAGAGTTTATGTCCTTGTTGAGAGAAAGGTCCCTCAGTAACCTTTGAAAGACATACATTTATTCAAATTAGAGGGATGGAAGACTTTGAAGACTGAAAGGTGAATGGGATAATAAAAGCATGTGGTGAAGAATGCTCAGGCTCCCTAGCCTTCAGAGGAGTGCAAATGAAATGAAAACCACATTGAAGGCCCAGCAGCGTGGCCTAGTGGCTAAAGTCCTCACCTCGAACGTGCCGGGATGCCATATGGACTCCGGTTCTAATTCCAGCAGCTCCACTTCCCATCCAGTTCCCTGCTTGTGGCCTGGGAAAGCAATCGAGTATGGCCCAAAGCCTTGGGACCCTGCACCCGTGTGGGAGACCCGGAAGAAGTTCCTGGCTCCTGGCTTCAGATTAGCACAACACCGGCCCGTTGTGCTCACTTGGGGAGTTAATCATCAGACGGAAGATCTTCTTCTCTGTCTCTCCTCCTCTCTGTATATCCGACTTTGTAATAAAAATAAAAATAAATCTTTAAAAACAAACACATTGAGGCTCCATCTAACTCCAGGGAGATCAGCCTACATTCAGAACTCTGCTAACACTACCACCTGCTGGCATGGATGTGGGGAGAAGGGTACCCTCCACTGTTAGTGGGAGTGTAGGATAGTGTGACCAAAATGGAAGTCGTTTTGGGAAATCCTAAGAGAACTGAATATAAACCTGCTGAAGGACCTAGCTATCCCACTGCTGGGGATATATCCAAAGGAAATGAGATCTGCATATGAGAAACAGATTTGTAGTCCTGTATTTACAACAGCACAATCTGCAATAGCAGAGACATGAAACAAGCCAGATGCCCATCCAAAGAGGAGTGGGTAAAAAAACTGTGGTGCATCAACTGCACGGAATACTACTCAACCATCAAAAAGAATGAAATCCTGTCACTTGCAACCAAATAGTCCCAACTAGAGACCATTATGCTCAGTTAAATCAGCCAACCCCAAAAGTGAAAATACCATAAGTTCTCTCTAACATAAGGCAACCTTTACGCAAAATATACAATCAGTAGCTGTTTTTGCTGCAGCTCATGGGGTTTAGTATATTTTTTTAAAGATTTATTTATTTTTATTACAAAGTCAGATATACAGAGAGGAGGAGAGACAGAGAGGAAGATCTTCCGTCCGATGATTCATTCCCCAAGTGAGCACAGAGGCCGATGCTATGCTGATCAAAGCCAGGAGCCTCTTCCGGGTCTCCCACGCGGGTGCAGGGTCCCAAAACCTTGGGCCGTCCTCGACTGCTTTCCCAGGCCACAAGCAGGGAGCTGGATGGGAAGTGGAGCTGCTGGGATTAGAACCGGTGCCCACATGGGATCCTGGCATGTTCAAGGTGAGGACTTTAGCAGCTAGGTCATGGCGCCGGGCCTGGGTTTTAATGTTTTTGTTTTTATTTTCATTTCTTCAGAATATTTCTTCAGTGACTCATAGGTCATACAGTAGCATCATTTTCTCCAAGAAGAATTTTTGTTTTTGTTTTCATTTCTTCAGGCACACACCAGTCATTCAGTAACATGCTATTTCACTTCATATTGGTGCAGATTTTCTATTTTTTGTTATTTGTGTTATGGCTTTTCATTTAAGGGGATGTATAGTAACTGTGGAGTAGAGACTATCATATCTGGATGTGAAGATACAATGCAGTATGCATCTCTACCTCCAAATCAAAGATGGACTCCCGATGAAACTGTTAACTTTATTTTGACAATAGGATGTTTGGACTGTCTGCGATTGTTCATAACTGCAATGTCAGGATATGTTTAAGGAGTAGAAGGATAAACTTATGACTGGTTATAAAGGATTATACTATTGTAATAATATAGGAGAAATCAGTGGTGGAGGGGGAGGGAACTTGGAGAGGGGCCAAGGAAATCCCAGAGCGTATTGAATTATATCATACAATTTTAAAAAAAATAGAATTTTGAAAAAACTCCTTGTAAGTGGCCAGCTCAGTGACTGTACAGGCTAATCATATGCTTGCGAGCACTAGCTTTCCTTATGGGGACCAGCTCCATTGTAGTTTTCTGTTTATAGCTTGGAAAAGCCCCAGAGGATGGCCCAAGTGCTTGGCCCCTGCACCCACGTGGGAGACTCAGAAGAAGTTCCTGGCTTCAGATCAGCTCAGCTCCAACCATTGCAGTCATTTGGGGAGTGAACCAACGGATGGAAGATCTGTCTCCTTCCATAAATCTGCCTTTCCAATGCAAATAAATAAATCTGTAAAAACTCCACATAAAACAGCTCTTTCCCTTGGAAACAAGATTGCGTCTTTGTGCTCACAGTCTTCCTGCTGTTGATTTAGGGCAGTGATACATTTAAGGTGGTGGGATTCTTTGTTCTCTACTCCTTTGGGCTGATTTGCCTGTACTGTTTCAAGCTGTCTGGTCTCAAGCTTTGTTTTTTTCTGGCTCAGTAAGGGGAATATGTAGATGTGTCAGCAGTCTACTGGGAGAAGGCTCCTCCATGCCCCTGAGACTGGGAATGGTCATAGCAGCACACACAGTCACTTCTCCCAGGAAATCTCTGAGAAACTGCCTTCGTTTTAAGTGCTGACATCTGACTTCATGGCCGTTGTTGATTATTTTATAGGGTCTATTTTTTTATTTGTGTAATACTGTAGCAGAAGTACTAAGCTAGTAATGCTCACTATAGAAACTGCATTCATTCTGATTTCTTAGCCTGCAGCTGTTGCAGCTCTCTGCCTAGGTATCGTTGATTTGTCTGTGCTTTAGTCACTTATTTACAAACTTGGTAGCTTGTTTCAAAAGAGTTATAAGCCATATAGTTGAAACTTGGAACTTGGAGAAAAGACTCTAAAATTTTGGCTCTAAAATTTGTCTAATATATTTATACATGCTTATATTGTCTCCCTACCTACCCATGTGTATTGAGTAGGCACTAAAAACGAGAACAAATTAGAAATTCAGGATTTTATTTTTAAGATTTATTTTCACTAGAAAGTCAGAATTACAGAGAGAAGGAGAGAGAGAAAAGCATCTTTCATCTGCTGGTTCATTCCCCAAGTGGCCACAACAGCTGAGCTGAGCTGAGCTGATCCAAAGCCAGGAGCCAGGAGCTTCTTCCCAGGCCACAAGCAGGGAGCTGAATGGGAAGTGGGGCTGCTGGGACACCAGCCAATGCCCATATGGGATCCTGGCTCATGCAAAGCCACTAGGCTATCATGCAGGGTCCAGAAATTGGGTTTCTTTCCCTTGCTTTTACTGTGACTTGCTTGATCAATTTTATGAAGTTTACTTCTAGTATATTTTCTAATATAGTATAAAGATTGTATATTTTTAAGAAACATTGTATGGATGTTATATAGAGCAATATATTGTGGTCTGTTTTTAATAACTCAAATACCACAGACTGGGTAAGTTGTGAAGACGAGAAGCTTTTTTTAAAGATTTATTTATTTATTGGAAAGTCAGATATACAGAGAGGAGGAGACACAGAGAGGAAGATCTTCCATCCAATGATTCACTCCCCAAGTGAGCGCAATGGCTGATGCTATGCCGGTCCGAAGCCAGGAGCCAGGAACTTCTTCCGGGTATCCTACACGTGGGTGTAGGGTCCCCAAGCTTTGGGCTGTCCTCAACTGCTTTCCCAGGCCACAAGCAGGGAGCTGGATGGGAAGTGGAGCTGCTGGGATTAGAACCGGCGTCCATATGGGATCCCGGCGCATTCAAGGTGAGGACCTTAGCCGCTAGGCCACGGTGCCGGGCCTGAGAAGCTTTTTTGATCCCAGGTTATGAAGTCTTAGGCCACGGCTGCTTCCTCTTTTTTTTTGAAAGATTTATATATTTTTGTTGGAAAGCCAGATATACGGAGAGGAGACAGAAAGATCTTCCATCCGTTGGTTTATTCCTCAAGTGGCTGCAGCAGCGAAGCTGAGCTGATCCAAAGCCAGATGCTAGGAGCTTCTTGCAGGTCTCCTATGTGGGTGCAGGGTCTCAAGGTTTTGGGAAGTCCTCGATTACTTTCCCAGGCCACGAGCAGGGAGTTAGATTGGAAGTGGAGCAGCTGGGACACGAACCAGCACCTGTATTGAATCCTGGTGTATGCAAGACGAGGATTTAGCCACTGGGCTACTGTGCTAGTCCCCAAGGTTGAAGTTTTGCATCTGATAATGATGTTCTTCCTGGCAGTGTTAGGGCAATGCAGGGGATTGCATACTTTGAGATAGGGAGGGGTGGAAAAATCAAAGGGGTGTGTGTGTGTGTGTGTGTTTCCCAGATTTTCTCCCCCCTTTTTATAAAATCATGAATATTCAGTAATAGGTAAGTATCTAACTCTGATCACCTCCCAGAAACCCTATTTGGATTAAGATCCTACCCTCTTAGTGCTTTACAGTGGGTTTTAAGTTTCATTGTAAGGTTTGGAGGGGATTGATCATAGTGACGAAAACTCTATAGATTCAGGACAGAAAAACACGTATTAGTATTAGGGGTTCTTACACCCACTTTTTAAAATGACTGGACGGCTCCTTGGTGAATTCCTTTGTAGATTATTTTAGAAATGTGAGCTTTAATTTAAACCCCTGTTTTTATTATTTGATATCTGTTTCAATTATATACTTTTGTTATAGAGTAAAAGTTCCTTGTAATTTTCATGAGATGTTTCAAAAGGTATGTAAACACTATCTGCCTGGTCTGTGTATTCTCAGGTCCAATGATGCATCAGCAGCCTCCTTCCCAGCAGTTCAACATGCCCCAGGGAGGAGGGCAGCACTACCAAGGACAGCAGCCACCTATGGGAATGATGGGCCAAGTGAACCAAGGCAATCATATGATGGGGCAGAGACAGATTCCTCCGTACAGACCACCTCAGCAGGGTAAGGTTCCATGTGGGAAATGTCCTGCTTCGTGTAACAGTGATTCAAAGGCTTTAAATGAACACGTTTTTATCTAAGCAGTGTGAGAGCTCGTTGTTCCTTGATATTTTCCCCAAAAGGAGTAGTAGATAGGAAGTGTAGTAGGTATGAGGTAGATAGAAATTTCCTAGATAAAGCTTTTCTGTGTGTTTTGTTTGTTTGTTTGTTTGCTGGGAAAGATTTATGTCATATATTTCCACATCAAAATTTTCCTGATTTACAGTAGAAAGTACTGCTTTGTTTAATTACATAGGAAGAAGCTCTAATGCCAACTGAAAAGGGAAATAGTCTTCTACCTTGCCAGACTTCCTTCTCAAGAAGTTAGTCTTCTTTTTCTGAGTTGATTTTGTTTGATATTGGATTCATGGTGTTAACGTTAATTTTAGTAAATGTCAGGTAGAGACTGTTGCTTGAATATGTATGTGTGTATGTATGAATAGTTCTGAGACTCAAAGTCTGGGTTTGGGCTCTGTACTGGATAAATAACCTCTTATGATAGCAAATTTGCACAGGGCGTTGATGCCCTAGAGAACAGGTTGTTTATGTCTTGCCTTGTTATGGTTTTTCAGGCCCACCACAGCAGTACTCAGGCCAGGAGGACTATTATGGGGACCAGTACAGTCATGGTGGACAAGGTCCTCCAGAAGGCATGAACCAGCAATATTATCCCGATGGTAATCTCTCCTAATGTTAACCTTCTCATTTTCTATCTCTGCCCAGGATTAATATTGAGAGCTATTCAGAACCATTTTCATGAGGATGAAGAAACTAACAATCTGTTTCTTCTAAATTTAGATATACTTTAACAATCTAAAGTACCAGTGAGAGCATCAGTTAGTACTCTGATTCGTTTATAATTAAATTCAAAGTGTGTTTTCTGTAGCTTTGCCATTAGTAACCTGAAGAATCACCTCAGTTGAAATCCTTTCTTACATAAAAGAACTTTTTATCTTTGGGATTGTCCACTTGAACCAAAGCAAATGTTACTGATTTTCTTTAGTTTCTTAAGTAATAGCTTTATTGATATAATCATGTACTGTGAAGTTCACCCATTGGCTTACATTTCTGCATTGTGTAAAAACATAAAGTTTATAGTTCTTTAATATTCTTCCACATTGCATTTTAGTTAAGTGGCATACTTCTGAAAGAACTGCTTTAGTGCTTATGTTAGATAAAAATGTATAGGCTAGATTTTAATGTATAAAAAAGCTAGAGATTTAATTGAAGAAAAAAAGACTTTAGAAACCAGATTTTTAGTTCTTTAGTTTGGTGGATGTTTTTAGTGGGAAGGTGGCTTATGAGAAAGGCCTCAGTTAAAGATGTGCCACTGTGGTGCTTTAAGAAAATCTAAACAGTAATAACGGAAACATACAAGCAGGTTTTCACTGCACAGCTGAGGTCGTGTATGTTTGAAAATTGTATAGTACAATATTGGGAGGAAAACAGTATAGATATAAAAATCTGAGAAATTAAAAGATGATTACTCATAAAATGATTTGTCTACTTATGAAAGGACTTTTTCAGAAGCTTTAGTTATAGTAAGCTTCTTTTATCTGTTTAATGTAAATTAGTCAATAGAGAAATTAAGGCAGTGAAAAAAGTAGAAGCCATTGAATAGAAGTTACTGCAAGCCAGTAAGAAGGTACAGTTTGGTGTATTGTCATTTTTCTTTTTTTGTCAGTGTACAAAGCAAAGATACACACTGGACCCTTAGGAGATTGTCTTTGTTGTAGAGGCTGTCAGTGTACAGGCAGAGCAAGTACTTACTGTTGCGCTTTACACAGGATACATGTTGATTAGTAATAGTAATGGCGTGTGGGCTATTTTCGCTAGGAAATGATACATTGTTTGATCTTAGGTTTTCTTGTCCTGAATTATTTAAAAATTTGAGTAAATTTATGGTACACTGTAGATACTTTAAAGTAATAAAGTCTGCTTTGTTAGATCATATGTATCAAGTCTTCTGAAAAGAAATGATTGATTGATTAATTTATACAGTTGAGCTTGACATTGATATTTTTGGTTCTGAATATTTCCTGAAGTATGAGGTGTATAGTTAAAAGGATATTCTTTTTACATAGAGTAGAATTTATTTTATGATACAAGTGCTTTAAAAGATTGCTATAAATAATCCATTTTTCCATTAGATTTTGTGGTTAAAATGGTATGACTTTTATGTAGGTATGTATTATTAGATGTCTTAGATTTATGTGGAGTATTACATATCAACAGCTATTTTCTTGATCATCACTGGGTAGTTTTTTCTCTTATATCCAAATATTTATATCAGTAAATATGTAGACAGTTGGCAGTTTGTTCTGTAAAGTCCAGATAGTAAATATTTTAGTTCTTGTGGGCCATTTGATCTTGGTCTCAGTGCCTAACTCCTGTAGTATGAAAACTGCCAGAACCAATACATAATAGTCTGGGTGTTATTGTATTCTAATAAACTTGGTTTACAAAAACAAACCAATGCTGTATTAAGACTGCTGGCCTTAATTTGCCAACTCTTGAAGTGATTATTTGTGAGGTGACTTAAGAATATTTGAAAAGTACAACTCTGAATACATGTGTTTGAATTGATGTTCCTCCTTGCTTAATTGCATTCACGTGAAATTTAGTTCAAAGTTTACCTAACTGAAAGATTATGTCTCGCATTTTATTAGTGGAACTTAATTAAAAAGACAAAATTGTTTTCCCATTAGAATCCGGGTATTGTACAAGTTAAAATAATTGTTTTAAAATTAAAGGTATACTCTTAAAACTCAGTGCAGCATTAATTTTATAAAGATATTTGTTTATGGCGTTCTAAGGACTTCTAAATTGGCAGAATTAAAAACTATTTTTTTTTACACCTGAAAATACTTTGAGATATCTATACTTTATGCAAGTAATGCTAGGGTGTGAAAAATTTACTTTCATTTCTTTCAGGGAAAAAATTATGGAGCTCTTTTATATTTTGCATTGTTTTTAGCATATGCTGTGGAATTGGAGACCGTCAGAACAGGTGTTTGAAAAAATATGATAATTACTTCCTTTGTTCATTTTAATTTAAGTTATTTACATGTGAAACATTTTCATCTTTTTTTTCTAATAAAAAAATAGAAAATGAAGTTTTTTTTTTAATCCCCTCAGGATTATCAGTTAAGATGATAAGTTTAATGTTTCTAAAGCTGCTTTTTGCCTTTATAAAAATTTGCACGTTATCTCAGTATGAAAACAGTCCATTGTTAAATATTGGCTAATGCAATTGAAATTATTTTTTATGTGTTTCCATTTCTTTTTCTTTTTTCAATTTTATCTGAAAGTTGAAATATTTTTAGGGTTTTCACTCAGTGGCCATTAACGTTTCTTCCTGTCTCTTGTCGAATTGATGTAGGTCATAATGATTACGGTTATCAGCAACCGTCGTATCCTGAACAAGGCTACGATAGGCCTTATGAGGATTCCTCACAACATTACTACGACGGAGGTATCTATATACCTTCACACACATATACATGCACATCCCCTTCTACAGGAATGGAAACCCTTGCATAAGACAACTGCTATCCGTGCAGAGCTCTTGTAGAATACTAGTTGCTGGCTGTCTTGAAAGTTACAGGGAGCCCAAACAATCAAAATAATTTCCTTACAAATATTTAAAATGTGTAACAATGACTTGCCATGTCTAACAATAATAAAAAGACTAAAACACTTAAAAATAATTTTTTCCTCAGTGGAACTTTTCTATTTGCACATAAATCCATCAGTCCAAATTTTTTTCCTTGTGTGTGTTTACCTATATATATTTTTACATATAAGTTTGGTGCCTTTAGGAAACAGCTTGCTGATCTTGTGTAGCTAGTGTGTGCTCTTGTAGCTGTCTTTAATTTTGTCTTTTTTATTTTATTTAGCATAGTCATGATCTTATGACTGTGATGTTCCAGTAAATGTAATGCTCGTATGGCAGAGACGCTGAAAATGCTGCAGTTCAACCTTGCAAAATTGGCTTTAACTGCAGTTTGTTTGGCCGAAATCCTTCTGTTTGGTTTGAGTTTTTCTTTGTTTTGTTAACTTTTAAAAATCAGTATGGCGTTTCATTTTGTTCTTGTGTTGTTGGCTATGCATCTTAGAAAGAATGAAGTTAATTAAGAAAATGTCTTAGGTTTTTTTCTTTTTTTCCTCTTCTCCAATTATCCTGTAGGAAATTCACAGTATGGCCAGCAGCAGGACGCTTACCAAGGACCCCCTCCACAGCAGGGCTACCCGCCTCAGCAGCAGTACCCAGGACAGCAAGGTTATCCAGGGCAGCAACAGGGATATGGTAATAGAACTTCGTAGTTTCTCCTTGTGGCACCAAAAAGTGTGTGATGACTACTGTGTTAGAATATGACAGTGGATATTTAATGATTTTTTCTAACAAATATCACTTTTGAAAATTCACAGTTTAAGCAGAGTCTATTATTATAATGTTTATTTAAAATGTTACTCTTTGATAAACTGGTGATCCATCTAAAAAGAACCACCAATTGGAGATGGTTCATTGACCAAAGGTAAATATATAGTCATTAGGACAAGAAAAATGAATTCTCACATCTGTTTAGTATTCATGACCAAGCATTAGCTTTGTATGTGCTGGGAAAATGTATGATTGAGTGATCATTAATGACATATGAATGATATGTGTAGCATACTGTTGTCAAGATACATGCAACAGTTTTATGGGAGTCCATCTTTGATTCATAAGTAGAGATGCATACTGCATTGTAGCTTCACATCTGTGTATGTTAGTCTCTACAGCACAGTTACTATACAGCCTCTTAAATGAAAAACCATAGAACAAAATCAACATCGGAGAGAAAAACAGAAAATTTGCAACAACATGAGGTGAAATAGCATGCTACTCAATGACAGATGTGCCCCTAAAGAAATGAAAATCAAAGACCTTCCTGAAGCAAAGGATGCTATTGTGTGACCTATGAGTCAGGGAGGAAATTAATAAGGAAAAAAACCTTTTTTTGAATGAATTAAAGCGAAAATATCAACCCCCCTGAGATGTAACAAAAACAGTATTGAAAGGGCTATTGATCTTATATTTTGCATGAAAGTTGCTTCATATCTGAGAGAACATATGATATTTGTCCTCAAGGATCTAAATCTGAACCCAGAAACCATCAAACTATTAGAGGAAAAATAGGAAGCACTCTCCAAGATAAACGAATTGGTAAAGACTTAGAAAAGTCACCCAAAGCATTGGCAATCAAAGCCAAAATAAACAAATGGGACTACATCAAACTGCAGAGCATCTCTGCAGCAAAGCAAATGATCCGCAAGGTGAAGAAGCAACCAATGGGCTGTGAGACAAATCTGTACACCACACAACCGATAGGGGGCTGATACCCAGAATTCACAGAGAACCTCAGAAACTCAGTTACAGCAGCCCTGTGAAGAAATGAGTGAAGGAAAAGAACAGACATTTGTTCCAAAGAACAAAATCAAATGGCTGATAGACATGAAAAAATGCTCAGATTCCCTGGCTGTCAGAGAAATACAAAGAGCCACATTGAGGTTCCATCTAACTCTGGTGAGATCAGCCTGCATTCCAACTCTACTGATAACACGCTGCTGTGGATGAGGGGAGAAAGGTACCCTTCACTGTTGGTGGGAGTGTAGGCTGGTACAAGCACTATGGAAGTCAATGTAGAGAGTGCTGAAGAACTGACAGTGGACCTGCCTATGACCCTGCTCTCCCACTGCTGAGACTATATCCAAAGGAAGTGAGATCTGCATATGAGGAAGCGATCTATAATCCCGTATTTACAGCAGCACAAGGTGTAATAGCAGAGACATGAAACAACCTAGACACCAGTCCAAAGAGCTGAGGCTAAAGAAACTCTGCTACTCTTACCCGGGGAATCAGGGAATACTACTCAGCCATTAAAAAGAACGAAGACTTTTTTTTTTTTTTAATTTAATTTTATTTATTTATTTTTTTATTGGAAAGGCAGATATACAGAGAGGAGAGACAGAGAGGAAGATCTTCCGTCCGATGATTCACTCCCCAAGTGAGGGCAATGGCCGGTGCTATGCGGATCCAAAGCCAGGAGCCACTTCCAGGTCTCCCACACGGGTGCAGGGTCCCAAAGCCTTGGGCCGTCCTCGACTGCCTTCCCAGGCCACAAGCAGGGAGCTGGAAGGGAAGCGGGGCTGCCGGGATTAGAACCAGCGCCCATATGGGATCCTGGGCGTGCAAGGCGAGGACCTTAACCACTGCGCCACCGTGCTGGGCCCAAGAACGAAGACTTTCAATTAGCAACCAAATGGCCCCAGCTAGACTTTTATGCTCAGTGAATATCTGATTTTAAATTTTTTAACTTTTTGATTTACTTACTTGAAAGAGAGAGGTAGAGATCTTCCATTGTTGATTAACTGCCAACTGCCTGCAACAGCTGGGACTTGGCCTGCTAAAGCAGGTGGAGCTCCATCAGAATCCCTCACATGAACAGGGACCCAGGGATTTAAGCCATCCCTGACCAAGGCACAGCATTGAAATAGTGTTATAAAAGCTTCATTCTTATTATTTCCATTGAAAGTTATTTCAAACAATATTTGAGGAAGTTAACATTATCAACTAGATATGAAAAAAGGGTAACATGTTTTTGAAACCTTTCCAACTTAATTATATTTTTATCTGGACTTCTGTTGAAATATCTTGTATGACTCATTTTGCAGGTCCTTCCCAGGGTGGTCCTGGTCCTCAGTACCCTAATTATCCACAAGGACAAGGTCAGCAGTATGGGGGTTACAGACCAACACAGCCTGGGCCGCCACAGCCCCCCCAGCAGAGGCCGTACGGATACGACCAGGTCAGTTACTGGGCTGTGAGGTTGCGGTGCTGTTTGCTCTGTGTCCAGACTGGATTAAGTACCTTTCATTTGAAAGCTTGTTTTTCCTTCTTTTTGTTCCAGATACATTTGTTACCCCCAAAATATGTTAGATTCATGTCTCTTTCAGGAGTATAACACAGCCAGTTGTAGCTACTCTGACATGCAAAGCATATTCTTGATATTCTGCCCTATTCCCACTGCAATATTTGATGTTTATATTTCGGAATATTTTTCTGAGCTCTTTCTCATGTCTCCCTCATGTTTATTGCTGAATGCTGCGTTGATCTGCTGAGATGTGGAATTCATCTGTATCAGTTTTTTTAAACACCACTGTTTAAACACCTTATTCACCACACTTCCTCCACACCCATAATATCCTATCCCTAACTTACACTTTCCGAACACTGTTCTCCTTCCCACGCGCTATCTATTCTCTCAGATATTATTTCTTCCATTAACTTTTAACTGTTACCATCAAATATGTGGAAGTGTGTCTCATCCTAAGGTAACTGTATTCCTTTGGACCTAGAGTTTCGATCATGAAGCTCTTCAAAATTACAGTCTGTCAGAATCATTGTTTAATGAATTTTCTCCACACATTCTTTGGGTTATTAAGGAAGTAACTTATAGTGTTAACATTAGGATTGATTTTAGGTTTATCTAATGGCTTCTCAGTGAGGATATTCTAGTCTGTTCACCACTTATGCTACTGAAAAATAAGTTATTTTGATAAGGAACTGTCTTTAATATGGAAATCAGTGACCCAGAGCCAGCGTGGTTGGTTCAGATACAAATGCTAATGAGGCTCTGAAGCATGAGTAATTTTGATGAAACATATAACTCTGTTGGTACTGTCACTGTCATTTAAGTAAAGACAAAATGAGTATCAGAGACTTAAACTAAGGCAGGTAAGTAATATTTTTGAAAAATGATAAGGGAGAGGCTTTAATTTTTAAAAGTAAAATGAGTCTTAGCCAGTAAGTCTGTAAGGCAGAATACCTGAACAGGTAAATTTTAGACTCATTCTAATGCATAAAGTGAGGTCCTTGGCATATATTCCTTAACCAGTGTAAACCAGTTTTCACCATGTGCTGGTTACTGTAAAAAGTCCCCAGTGGGAGCCACATTCCCTGTGGTTTGGAGAACATCATCTTGGCCTTCCTTGACGTCTATTAGCATTTGACACACTTTCATTTTTCTTTCTTCAGCATTACTTCGTTTTCTTTTTTCTACATTACTTTTGTTCGTCTTGACTTACAGTAATTCAGTCTGTATTCTTGTTACTGATTTCTTGTCTCACCCAAACGCGAATTCTCAACTCTGTGTTTTTCTTAGTCTATAAATTTTCCTATCCTGCAATTTTAATAAGCCACGCTCCTACCATCTCTGGATATTTTGCTATTCCCTCAATTTTAGTATGTCATGCACAAAATTGGACATTTCTGTTTCTGAATTAACATATTTCTAAATTGTACGAACTTCAACTTATTCATTATGCAAATGGGTATTGATGAATAGTTACATTATTTATAAACTGTGCAATATGCGAAGATTGGTGACATGCTGAGAAATAACATAGGCATGGACTCTGAGTTTAAGTCAAGCAGTGGTACAGATAAGTAAGTGGATGATACCATTCATATGAGTGCTTGGTGAGGAAAGCAAAGCTGGATGGGAAAGGAGCTTCTGTTAGGTAAGTGTGAACCCTAAGAGTAAGTCAGCATTGGCCCGGGTAGACATGGGATACTCTGTTCAGAATGAAGGCCACAAATCGCTAATGTTAAATGTGATTCAACAAAGAAGAAACCAGTGAAAAAAGGGGCATGACTGGTGAGATGTTGGGGTTTAATTAACGAGGCTCTTAGAAGCCATGGTAGGGGGCTTGTACTTTAACCTGACCTCAGTGCAGAGTCTTTGAAGAGCTTTAAGTGATAAAAACGAATCTTATAGTGGCTGGCACCTGGACAGCATGCTAGTTATTTGATTTTCTTCTCTTTCTATCATCCTAATTATTTTACTCTCTAGTAGTCTCAGAAGTTTGGGACTATAATGTGAGTAGAGACCAGTGTCGGGTAGTAGCTGCCAGCTATATTTCTTTCCCCACTGTAACACAAATATGAGGAGACACTATTTTAGCTATGGTAGTATCCCATAGTCTGTCTGCTTCATCTGATGTTTTTACCTTGCCTTTTGTTCACTTACACACTTTGTTCACCTCTTAAAGATCATTGAGATGCTGTACCGTCTGTGCAGATTCCTGAACACAACCCAGCTATAGTAACTGATTTCTGTAGTAGTTTATAGGCAGATTATTTCTGTAGCTAGCAGCAGGACTGAAAAAATACCCTGAGCTTACTTGTTTTCCATGTTGCAGGGCTTAGTTTTTGCTTCCGTCCCATGTCCTGAGTAAGATCAGTTCCTGCGTTGTATGTAGTTTTTTTGGTTGTTTGAGGGTGGGCGGTAAATCTGCTTTGACCACACACAGTGATTCTTCTCACTTTTTAACAAAATGTGTTTCTCCATTTTGTGCATTATAATTATTTATTGTAATTCTGCACTCATTCTATAATGCAGGCTCTTCAAGGTATTGTTTTGTCTGTTTCTATTAATCTTTAATACCTAGTAGAATATAACATGTATTCAATAAATACTGATGAATAATGTGTAAATAATTGGATGTGTGAGGTCATTATTTCTTCATTTGAATGATGATCACAACAGTAGGTAGCAGGAAGCCTCTAAGTAGTATTTTGAAGCAATAATATTAATACTTTTAACTGATTAGATAAATGGAATGAAAGGTCTCCCATGTGGGTGCCAAGGCTTTGGGCCACCCTCCACTGCTTTCCCATTCCATAAGCATGGAGTTGGATGGGAAGTATGTGAATCGATGTGCATATGGGATCCTGGCATGGGCAGATCGGGGATTTAGCTACTGAGCCATTGCTCCGGGCCCTGAATCATCTTAGTATATTCCATCATATAACAGCATTTGATTGATTGTTGAGTAGATACATTTCTCTGGCACTGTAAACTTTTAGTGCACTATTTCTCTTGGTTCAAAAATATTTCAATTCTGAAACATCTTGGGTCACTTATGTAGTTTGGAGGGAGAATTTTTACCAAAAAAAGTGCAGTTGTGTGCTTCCAGTGGGTAATTGTTTTGGGAAAATACTTCTATAAGCAACAATTTTAAACACATTGGTGTTTTTTTTTGTTTGTTTGTTTTTAGTAAAAGAAATACTTTAGTATGTGCTCTTTTAGGGGAAAAGACATTGCTTCTCTTCTCTCAAACTAGAAAGTGCCTGCTGAACTTTAATTACCTCTCATCAAGTTTCGTTGCCTCTCCTGTCTGCTGTGTGTCTGTTCTCTGCTTCTCTCTCATCTGGTCAGCCTACATACAGATCTTCAAGTCTACTTTTTTAGAAAGCAGCAGAAACAAACTTTCCTTGATTTTATGTGCCAGTTGCCTGTCGGAATACCTCCTGACGCTCCATTGATCTCGGGGAGAGGCTTAAGTTTCCTTAGTGTGGATAGAAGGTTCTTTACTTGTTGTCTCTTTTCCTTCCTCACTTGCTGCTATCCCTAATGCCTTTGATGTTTGTGCATAATAGTAACTAAGAAGCTGAACACTGACAGAATTGTCACCTGCCACATGGTTAATACACTGGAAGGTGTCATATCAGAGTTTAAAGTTAGAGTACTCCCTTACTCCTTCTCAGTTCAATTTAAAATTCTCCAAATGTTTAGATTCTATTATCTGACAGATACGATTTTAGAATCATTTTGCTAATCTTTTGCATGTTTTGGAATTGGAATCCATTTTCAGTTGAATATAGTAACATAAGAAATTAGAAACTGTTGCCAAAAGTGTGTAAAAGTTTTTATGTATTATAGGCATTATTACTGTTGTAGTATGAGAATGTTAAAAATGATTCATAATTTTCTGTTTTTCTTTTAGGGACAGTATGGAAATTACCAGCAGTGAAGCAGTACTTACATTCCAATACCCAGTATCTCTTAGCAGCCATATTGTCACCTCAGCACTGTGGACACCTCCCTGTGAAACGATCCTTTCATTCCATCTAGTTTTTGGAAAAAACCTTGTGGATAAGTGGCTGTTTCATCAATAAGCAGCCTTTGTGGTTTAGTTGTAAAAGGCTTTAGTAGCTCAAAAATCTTCTTGATTTCACATTTCTACTCTAGATGGCAACATTGGACAGAAAATGCATTGACATAATCAGTTTGCAATGATTTTGGAACTGTGTTTCAAATGGACTGTCACAGACTGAAAGGTGTGAACAGCTTTGTATGTTTATGAAGGTTAAGGGAATTTAATACTTTTCCACAGATTCTTTTGTAAGGGGAAGAGGGAAATGTACACTTTTTACAGCAGCAATATTTTGTATATTATGTTTATTTCATGTGATGAATATGCAAGGCGGTACACTGTGCACTGGACAGAATCAGAAATCCTCTGTGAACATGGACTGGAGCATAGTAGATTGTTTGGGTCTCAAAATGGTGTCTTGTTACGGTAAAGGTGAAAGTGGAGGCAGAGCTCACCGTGTGTCTACTGTTAGGCTCTCCTGGAGGAATCCAAATTCCTTTTATCTCTTAGATAACAAAGGGCACTGTGATACAGTTTTGAGTAAAACAACATTTTTTTTAAAAACCTTCCAGTTTTGTGGTTTAAACCCTTTTTATAAAGACCGTTTCTAATGCTGTTTTAAAATGTGAGGCAATAAGAATTACTTTGTTTGATTTTAAGTATTTGGTGACAGTTTCATGTAACTGAAGTGGTAATCCTCTCTCAAGATAGCAATAACTAAAAGTGGAAAGTGTTAATTTTATCTTGTTTAAGTGATCAGGGAACTTAATAATATCAAAACATTTTATAATTGATATCAAAGAGGAGTCAGCCTTGACCCAGGATTTTATTTTTTAACATTTGAAAGAATTGGTTTATATGATAAAGTGTTATTTCAGCTTTCTTAACTGGAAATGATGCCATTTATGAAGGGGTATTTTTATGTTTCCCATTTTTTTATGTTAATAACAGAGATGTTTGGGAAACTGCTTATTGATGAGGCTTATTCTGGGATTTGTACTAAAAGCATAGAGGTTGTATTCTAGATAATCTTGTTTATAAGCATGGCATAATTATTTGAGACTGTCCTGTGCCTGATTATTTTAGCTCAATTCAGGGATGTTACATTGGGCAGGAAAGCATGCACTGAGAAATTTCTGACCACAGTTATTTAAGCATAGTCTGAAAATATCTAGCCCAAAGGTAAGTTCCTATTTTCATCATAGTTGCCTGTGCCCATGGAATAAGGTGTATTCTTTATAATTGAATTGGTTTTTCCCACTTCTAACTGGAAACAAACAGGGGGAGGGAGGCATGAATTTGAATCAGCAGAATATTACTGTTCTCAACATGCTGTAATCAAAAGGAGGAATTTCGGTCTGTCTGTGTGTGTATGAGCGTGTGTGTGTGTCGGTGTATGCGTGTTTTAAGGTCAGAATTGGTTTTCTTTCATCTTGGTCAGTGGATAATGGGCATCAAGTTTGAACAGATAAAGCATAAACAGCCTTATTGTGATTGAAATGCTTACAGATTCTGTGCCAGTTTTCCACCACTGTGTAGTTTGTTGCTATTTAAAACTGTATCAACTCTAACGGAAGAATAAATTATTTGTGATTTTAATTTTCTCATTTGTTTCTTTAAATTAGATCTCTTTGACTCTCTTGTTTTGTCTGGAGACTGTGCTGTGGGTTTTTATGTAAGTTAGTCCGGTATAAGCAGACTTTATTTGCATTCTAGGACTTTATCAAAATTCTCTTGCCATGCCCAAGTTAATTAGAATTAACTGTTCAGTAATCAGCATGTTGTGTAGGCTGTTTGTTACAGAATTCTTTTTCTGAAAATGAAGTCCATGAGGCTGTAATCAAGATGACTGAATTAGATAAATGAGTTGAGGAGACAAAATTGTGCTGAACCCAACCTGGTGTAGATACGTTATCTCATTTGAAATAAGCTCAACTGACATTAAGAAATAATTTGTCTTGCCAACCCATCTTCTGTTGTCTTATTCTCCTTTTAATGGAAACTAAAATTGCAATTTTAATAAGCAGAATTTCCTCCAGGACTTTCTTCCTGGAGACTAGTGCATTTGCAAGGTTTAATTGTTTTATAACAGTCCTATTTCATAAAAGTTTTTAATTGGTGGTGACAAAAATTGTCTTACTCCTTTGATACCCAGTTAGAAGAATAACTTTAGGAGTAGCTTTCTACCAAATTTGACATTTCCATACAGATAATTCTATTCTAAAACTACAAAATATTCACTTTATTAAAATGTATTTTGATGAATAAATAGCATATTGTCCCATATAATTTTAGAAGCAAAATATTCCTATAAAGAAGCAAAGGTTACTGATAAATATTCCTAAATGTTTAAGTGTGCTAGTTTAGTGGAGAATTTTTTTGCACGCTTCTGTAGCAGTATACAGGTGGCAGTTTTGTTTTGTTTTTCATTTTCTGAATAGAATTTTCAAACATACACCAAAAAGAGCAGAATGATTTAGGGAGCCCCCATGTATTGGTAACCCATTTTATCTATGTAGCAGCTCATGGCCAATGTCTGTTTACTTCCAAATTGAGGCAAATATTAAGTTGTTGATTTCAGTAATTGTCTCTAAAAGATGGCAAAAACAAAACAAACCAAAACAAAAACCCAGAACACCTCACACCTTGACATTCCATAGTATCAATGCTAACATGTTTAACAAGATGAAAATCTGTACACATAACATATGTCCTACTTTCATTTTAAAGCCATTCATTTATAACAGGCATGTAACATGACAAATATGCAACGTGAAAAGTGTCCATAATTTTGTCCTTTAACAGCAACAATTATTAAAGATTTGGCACATATCTTCCACCTTGATTTTGGACACATAAGCCAACAGTAGTTTGTTTTTAAAACAAGAATGGAGTTATATGTTACTTTTGCAACATTTTTTCCATTTGAACTTAGAAGTTTCTTACATACTTCCTACTTCCTAATACTGTGTCTTCAGTTTTTTGCTATTTCAAAAACAAAGCATTCACGGGCTGTCAGGGTTTATTGTTTTAATTGGACACATGAAAATAATACATTTTTGAGGGGTACCATGTGATATTTTGATATTTGTATACATTGCATGATGTTCCAATCATTACAGTATCTATTTTGTCAACCATTTATCCTCATTAAGGTCTTTTTCCCCTAGTATGCTCTTAAAGTATTTCTACACAACAGATTTCTGATATGCAGACTGTAAGGTTGTGGACATTTAAAAAAATGTTGCCATGAAGGATATATCCTAGCTGACAGTACTCTATTTGCCTTGTTAATTTTTGCAGTTCTAATAGATTTTTGTAGATGCTGTTTGTGAACTTAAATTTTGTTTCTTTATAAGTTGAATATAATTTCAAAAGCTTAATAATATGTTTTTACTGTGAAATGTCATTTAATGTCCTTTGTCCATTTCTCTGTTACAAGTGTTGTGTGAGTGAGAGTAAATAATACTATATATATGTACATAGACATATCTACACAGACATAAAATTATATGATGTTCTCTAGATGCATATATTAGTCCTTTGTGTTTTCTGTCCATTATTTTTAAAATTTTGTTTATATAGTCAAAATTGTGACTTGTGACCTCCATAACTAGCAAAATTATAAAAAATATCCCTCATCTTTACTCTGATTTCATAAGACTTACTATACATGATATGATTTCTGGCATTAATTTCTTTCCTATTTGTATAACCAGTTGCTTAAGCATCAGTTATTAAATAAACCATTCTTCCAATTAATTGAGATGCTACTTTATTCTGTTTATTTAAAAGATAAAGCTAAAACCTATTTTACTCTGAAGACTATTTAGGTATGTTTAGTGAAATTATTTAATTGTCATAAAATTGTGACAATCTCCTAGAAACAAGGTTTTTTTTTTTTTTTTTTTGAGTAGAAGTTACCTGCAAAGGTACAAACTGGCTTTTTAATAGTAAGCATTATTGAAATGCATTTTATACAATTATTTCAGCCTCTTAGAACATTTTCCTTTCTAATGTTTTAAAAGCTCTATAATTTTGTGCCTGAATTTATTTGTCTATTCGAAAAGCAAAAAGGTCACAGTAGTTCACTCCACAGATGGCTGCAACAGGTGAGGTTGGGCCGTGCTGGAATCAGAAAGCAGGAGTTTGATGTGGGTCTCCCACATGCGCGGCAGGCCAATCAGGACCAGTACCATATGGGGTGCTGATGGTACAGACAGAGGCTTCACCGGCCACCTGCTCCAAAACTTGTATTTTGGTAATTATCTGAAGTTCCTCTGAAGTGTTATTATGTAATTAGCAAAACATTAAGAAATCAATAGAAAATCTTGTTTTATTGTTTAGAAATCCAAGTCTCAGAAATACATAATTCAGTATAATTTTCATTAGTTTAATAAAGGTGTATTAATAAGGTGACTGCTATAATTTATCTGCCTGGAAAACTTTGAGAGACACAGGAGGGGAATATTTCACAGATATGTGTATACACATGAACATGTGTGTATGTACTTTTACATGCATGTTATTGTGGGCATTTTTATTTATAAATTAGGTTTTTTTTTTTTTAATGTGTAAAGAGTTGCTTATTTTATTTGGAAGAGTTTGAGAGGAAGAGGCAGAGATGCCTTCCATCCACTGATTCACTTCCACGATGGCCGCAGTGACTGGGACTGAAACACGCTGGAGCCACAGTCCTTCTCCAGGTCTCACATGGGAGCAGGGAGCCAAGCACCTTGGCCACCCTCCACTGCCTTTCCCAGGCCATTAGCGTGGAGGATGACTGAAGGCAGAACAGCCAGGAGTGGAACTGATGCCTGCATGGGATGTGGGCATCACAAGCCATGGCTCCACTCACCATGCCACAATGTTAGCTCCTGGAATTTTAAAATTTTACCTCTTTCCTGATGGAGGTATCCATAGTTTCAGAATGAAGTTACCTTTGTGAATGATACCTTTGTGTTTAGATTATAATCTTTGTGATAACAGGTTTTTTTTTTTTCATGACGCTGTGCATCAAAAAATGTTAAATGCGTCCCAAGCACTTGAGTTTTTATAATTTTTTTTGTCTCTGATCTCCCATTACTATCCTGTCTTCTAAAATTAATCCCGTTTTGGATGGGTGTATGACAGTCTGCCTTGAGACTGCTAACATTCTTCTTTGCAGCTTGGTACAGTCCTACGTCTCAGTTCCGATCACTGGGATGTGAACTGAAAGGGTCTGTGCAGGTTTAAGTGCAGTCTCCCATTCCCCTCGGTTGAAACATGACATACTAGGGGAGCTTCAGCCTTTCTTTCTTCCCCCACTCCCTTTTTTGGTAAGATTTATTTTTTTAGACAGATAAGATTTATGGAGAAAAGGAGACACAGGAAGATCTGCTGGTTCATTCTCCAAATGGCTGCAACGACCTGAGCTGAGCTAATGCAAAGCCAGGATCTTCCTCCAGGTCTGCTATATGGGTAAAGGGTCCCAGAGCTCTGGGCCATCATCTACAGCTTTCCTAAGCCGCAAACGGGGAGCTTGGATGGGGAGTAGCGCAGCTGGGAAACAAATCGGTGGCCATATAAAATCTCAGTGTTTACAGGACGAAGATTTAACCGTTGAGCCATTGTGCCGGGCTCAAGCTTTGGCATTTGAAGTAGAAAGATAATCTGTGGAGAACGGTAGTAAAAGTTTAGAAATTAGAAGTCCCGTGAAGGTGCTCAATGATGTCTACATCTCTGCTGCCAATCAACTTGGACTTGACATGGAAAAAAGAGCACTTTTGTCTTCCAAGAAACTTCTTAGGGCAGCTAAGCCTGTACACGGTTATGTGGAGGGCCATTTCATGCCACCCTATGACATAATGCACAGGGACCAATATTTTATTTTATTTTATTTTATTTTATTTTATTTTATTTTTTAATTTATTTTTTTTTTATTACATTGCATCATGAGACAGTTTTACAGGCACTGGGATTCCCCCCTCCCCTCCCCAAAACCCGCTCCCCCCCCCCCATGGTGGATTCTTCCATCTTGTTTAGAGCCTTACAATTTTACAATTCTCTGATGTAGATCAGAAGCGGTCTACTCATATCGATTATACAGGGACCAATATTTTAAATAGCAAGTTCCTGTCTGTGTCATGCCCTTTATAATCATTCCACTTGTGTTCTTGGACAATGAAGTAGGACAAACTCTTGGATATTTTCTTTATGATTATCCTTTCTATCACAAGTGAATTAGAATGCCACCTGTAATAATAGTTTGTTGGAAGGTATTGGTTTAGTTTTAGGCTTAATATTTAGAATCTTTTAGCATCCGTGTAGTTATAAAATTTGTAAATGGCTTATTTTATAGGTATGGAAATTTCTGTAATTAGAAACTCAGAATCTCTTACAGTTTAAACTTGATTTTGACCTCTATCACTTAATTGTGTATTCTTGGGATTTTTTTCTCTATTTATTTTTTTTTTTTACTGTGTTCTCAATTTTATGGCTTGCGCCCTATAACATGTGTACTTTGATTCTAGATTTCCTGCTAACATTTCTTTGAAGGCAGAAAAGAGTAATATTCAGCATTTTGATTTTACATAAGTAGTGGCAATCTGTAGTTAAATATTAAGAATTTTATGTTTATGAGCATAAGCATGTTAGAAGTGAAAAGGTATTTTAATAGCGTATGTTTCATGTACTATGTTTTATAAATGACCAAACTGCATAGCTTCTAAGGACTTCCTGAAACAGTATACCAAGACATTATTTCAAGGATTTTTGTTGTCTTTTCTATCAACATGACTGCCAGGGAATCATACCTGTTAATGCTTGCTAAATTAAGAGCAAGAAATATGGCTGTGGCTTTTAGTACAAGTATCATTCTATATAAAGAAGCTCTATTTCTCTTTCATGAATTTCATTATTCCATCCCTATTCAGATCTCACCTCCCAGCAAGCTTTCATACTTCAACTCTACACATGAGTTCTCAGTCCTCATTCCCACATAAACACAACCATTTTGAAAACATGAACTAATATTAATTACCCCCTTGGCACCAAAAAGTCAGGATTTCCTGATGCGGCACGCTAATGTAAAATGCATTAGTGCAAACGTTGGCTCCAAGGGGTAACACTCTCTAAATAAACAGCAATGTTTTTCTTTATTCACTACTCTCAGGCTATTCTGAAAGTCATTCATTCTCCGCACTCCCCCAAAAACAGAGTTTAATAAGTTATAACTGAATTTTCACAAGAAGGAATTAAATTCCAAGCAGCAAATCAGTGGCACTTAATTCTTTTTGGTTCACTGAAGTAAAATACCAAAATGTTCCAATTATTAAATGGCTTTGAACTAGAATTAAAATAGTCTGTTGAGAGATAACTTTATGTTTTAATAATCACTAAATACATATCTCACCTGTTGATTTAATTTATGTAGAAATAGAATAAGAAAAGGCCTGGTGCAGTAGCCTAATGGCTAAAGTCCGCCTTGCACATGCTGGGATGCCATATGGGCGTTGGTTTGTGTCCCGGCTGCTCCACTTTCCATCCAGCTCCCTGCTTGTGGCCCGGGAAAGCAGTTGAGGACGGCCCAAAGCCTTGGGACCCTGCACCTGCGTGGGAGGTCCACAAGAAGCTCCTGGCTCCTGGCTTCAGATTGGCTCAGCTCCAGCAGTTGTGACCACTTGGGGAGTGAATCAGTGGCTGAAATATCCTTTTCTGTCTGCTTTCTCGCTGAAATTCTTGACTTTGCAATAAAAAAAATTAAAAAGTAATACACAAGGTATAAAAAAGTCCTTGAGTATCAAGAATATTGGTTATTAAGTAGCACATATATGTATATATATCCATATATTTAATAGCCATTGAAAATTAAATAGTGAAATATAAGAGGTCTTCAAAAATTTATAGAAAATGCTTACTATTATACTCTGCATAGACCTCAATATATTTTTTGCATTAAAATAAGCTTTAGTTCCATTTTCTACTTTTTTTTTTAAAGATTTATTTTTATTATTTTTTATTGGAAAGGCGGATATACAGAGAGGAGAGACAGAGAGGAAGATCTTCCGTCCGATGATTCACTCCCCAAGTGAGCGCAACGGGCCGATGCTATGCCGATCCGAAGCCAGGAGCCTCTTCTGGGTCTCCCACGCGGGTGCAGGGTCCCAAAGCTTTGGGCCATCCTCGACTGCTTTCCCGGGCCACAGGCAGGGAGCTGGAAGGGAAGCGGGGCTGCTGGGATAGAACCGGCGCCCATATGGGATCCCTCGCGTGCAAGGCGAGGACCTTAAGCACTGTGCCACCGTGCTGGGCCCTGCTTTTTTTTTTTTTTTAAAGTATCTTTGCAGATGGATTAGAGGGAAAAGTTTAGAACTTCACTTTGTTTCTATATAGACAATTTCAAAATGCTGGTCTATCCTGAGGCCATTTTGCTGTAAAACGACCTATTGTGAAGGTGTTTATGTTCTTTCTTTATTTGTTCATTTATTTATAATGATTTGACAGAGCTACAGAGAGGGAGGGAGGAGAGGCTGATTCACTCCCCAAATGACCATATTGGCAGGCTGGGCTAGCTGAAGCTGGGAACTGGTACGTCATCTGGATTTACCCCTTGGGTGCAGGAGCCCAAGGCTTTGGGTCATCTTCCTCTGTTTTCTTAAGCACGAGAATAGGGAGCTGATTCAAAAGTGGAGCAGCCTGGACTTGAACTGGTGTCCAGATGGGATGCTGGTACTGTGGGGAAGAAGTTTAACCACTAAGCCACTGCCCTGGTTCCTATTGTG